CTCACCTTTTCATTCCTTGAAACTATTTGCATTTATTAATGTTTATTGTTAGATGAAGAGTCTTTGCTGGGCAGATGGTTTGAGGACACTTTGCAATGTCCAGAAATGATGGCAACACCAGCCAGCACCAATGAAAAAGAGAAAGATACCCAAGAAAAGAAAGACGATGAACCGCAGGATAAAACACAGAAAGGCGCCCAAGAGGTATGGTGATCATACTGACAGGGTATTGTGATCTGGCTTTATACAATCAACACCATATTAGGTCGCATGACCAAACAAGTACTTGCGCATAAAATTAATGCTCTTACTATTAAAAAAAAAGAGTTTTGGTATGAAATGTTTCTTAAAGGGCTACTTGGACGAAAATTGCGAAACATTAGAAAAGACTTGGAAATCAAATAGACCTATCTATATGGGTGTAATAATCATGAAGCAACAGATTTCAAGAAAATATTGATGCAAATCCTTAATATTTTGGGCAAAAAATGTTGGAGTAGATGACGTCATTTACTCAATCCTTTTGTTCTTCCATCTTCTGAATCAAAATTTCTCTGATGTGGGATAATTCCAAGACAAATATTTTCCTGCAATTGTTTTTAATAGATCATATAAATGAGTCATATATTTGTATTCATGATTGAAGTTTTGAAATAAGGCCATTTTCATGCAAGTAGCACTTTAAAAACTAGAAGTGATATCAAAACCTCATTAGATGTGTACAGTACCTCAGTGAACCTCCTCCTAAGACATTGCATCCTCATTTTTGTTGAATGCATTTTATCTGAAATGCTCTCCACCCCTCCCTGAGGAAAACCTTGATCTGTCCCTATGTGCTTCATTAGACTTTCAAGCATGCAAAAAATAAAAAATTCAAATGAATGTTTTCATGTGTTATATAAAAATCCCAATGAAATGCTTGCAGCAGCTGTTTTTGAAATATATAGTACAAGTACGTGTGACTGCAATCCCTTCTAGAAGCATCGATCAGTTCCTAATACACATACGTTTTTATTCTAGTATTTGTCCCAAGCAACCAGCACCCTTCAGTTTGTTGTAAAACATTTGTTGATGAACACCATGGATGAAGTTCAGAGATATGTAAGATTGTCCCTCAATGTCGATCAAATGACAGACCTGGCTGGAATACTGACAGAGCTGGATAACAAATCTAACAAGYTAAACAAACTGAAAGGCTTTGATGARCTTTGCCTGACAGTTGATGAAGCTTTTCATTTGTTRCTAGTGGAGGAATTACTACCAGAACATCTTCAGGTACTGTGGTCTCTTTATCATATAGAGTTATGTACATTTGGCAAAATGTTTGTTACTTTGTTGTTCTTCACTTCTCTTTTTTTCATTCTTTCTTCCTTCCTTCCATTTCCCTCTTGTTTTCATTTCTTTTTTGTCTTCCATTATCATTTTTCMTTCCTATCTTCATTCCTTCCTTCTTTGTGTCCATCATTTGTTTCCTTTGTATTCAATTTCCCAAGTGTACAGAATGTATTGTTGCTAAGACTGTTCCAGTTGAAAGATAGTGACTAATAGTCACTAAATAAAAACTATTTGTTAGCAACTATTTAGATTTTATTTCATGGTTAAACAGTATGATTACAGTATGTTATAAAGTGGTTTTCATTAACCCGTGAAACACAGTTTACCATTTTTATCGCTATTAGACTTTGGCTTTTTTGTTTTTTATTGTCTCTACGTGACTATTACGATCTATTACACTCTAAGTATTACACTTTGTTTCACGGGTTTATGAAAACCACTCTAACTTTTTGTTTTCCTGTTTACAGGATTTACTGCTGGAGTCTCTCAATCTATCACCTAAATCAGATGGACCATGGCCTTTAAGGATTGACTCGACATGTCTTGGTGTGTTAGCAAGGGTTATATTGGCAAGACAGCAAAAGGCTTATAAAGCTAACAATGGAAATATGGATATCAAGGAATGCATCAATATATGGACTAGATTAATTGATACACTGGAGAGAAATGCTGTAGCAGAAACCCTTGAGGACCAAGGTAGTTAGTGTGCAGTATGGTTCTCTTTATTATCTCCTTTTTTCCTCCGTTCTTAATTTTTTCCTCCCATCCTTCCTTTCATCCTCCYATTCCATACTTATCTTTTTCTTCCTTCCTCCCTACCTTCTTAATTTCTTCTTTCCATTTTTCCTTTTATCCTCCCATCCCATCCCATCCTCCCGTCCATCCTCTTTTTCTTCTTTCCTTCCAACTTCCCTCCTTTCAAACTCCCATCTTTCCTTTATTCTCCCATTCTCCCTTTGTTCCTCTTTTTCTTCCTTTCTTCTTTCCATCCTTCAGTCTTTCAAATCCTTTCCTTCCATCCATTATTATTCCATTCTTTCTTCTTTTCTCCCAGTTTCTTCCTTTCTCTTTTCCATCCTTCAGTCTTTCTCATCCTTTCCTTCCATCCATTATTATTCCATTCTTTCTTCTTTTCTCCCAGTTGCCTTTTCCTTCATTGCAAGTTGACACAATTCCTCAACTGTAAAGTTAATGATTTGTTTTCTTTCCAGATGATCTGAATGTTGAGCATCTTCAACTGCTCTTATTTGTCTTTCACAACTTGTCCCTTGAGCAGAGGACGCTTCTGCTTATAAGATGTGCCAAGGCTTTGGTTACCATATCAAAGTCAGAAAAGTTGACAAAAACTCCTCCTGCTTCACTATCAAGACTTACTCTACTGATGGATTACTTCTTACACCATTTTAGTAGTCCCCCAAAGCAGCTCTTTTCCCAGGTAAATGGAAGTTTGTTTTCTTATATGTGAAGTATGGACACTCAGCTTTTGTACAATTGTATTCCTAAGTTTCTTCTCTTGTGTTTGTCTCTCTCACCATGTACAGTGTCAGAAAACAGAGACACTTGCAGGCATTTTAACTTTCTTAAACAAAATAACCTAATATTCAACTGTCTGAGATATGGGCACTCTCTGCATTCATACATGTATTCCTAAGCTTTCTTCTCGTGTACTTGTCTCTCCCACCATTTCAAGTATCAGAAAACAGAGACATGTGCAGCCATTTTAACTTTCTTAACAAAACAACCTATTTCACTGTCTGCTTCCATGAATTTAGGTACAGAGAAACCTCTTTAGATCAGGCACKTCTATTGGTCCTGACAGTTRTGAAGACACACAAGCAGGAATAGTGTACTTTTCWTTGGTAGACCATGAGGAGGTCAACTATCAGCGAAGCTGTTTGAAGTTTCATTCTTTGAATGGCACTCCTATTTCTCCTCAAGAATCCATCCCTATGGTACCAAGATTTTATGATATCAGACCTGTGGCACCAGTAGATGATTACAAACAAATAGATCCCAAGGTAATAGATGTTATTGACTATTTGTTCAGTGACTGTGTATGTATTTTGTCAGTTTATAGGATGATTGATTGATGGATTGATTGATTGTTTGCAGAATTGATTGATTGGTTGCTTGGATTCTTGTTTGATTGGTTGATTGGTTGATTGATGGCATGATTGATTGATTGATATTGTTTGATTGATTGACTGATTGATTGATTGACTGATTGAGTGGTTGATGAGTGATTGAGTGATTGATTGATTAAGTGTGTGATTGACAAGTGATTAAGTTATTGATCCATCCATTTATTCATTCTCCATTTATCCAGCATTCAGTCATTCTCATGCATTCAACTTTTCATTCTCCCTTTTTTTCATTTTCTCATTCATCCATACATCCATCCATTCATCCATTTATCCATCCAATTGCTTATTCATTTATTCATTGGCATCACTACACATATCATTGTGTAGTACAGCTTTTACTCCTTTGCCTTATTGTGCATACTTTATTAACCTCCGTCTTCTGCCTAGGCTTGTGAGATTCTCCTTAACATGGACGTTGATGGACTATCCTACAGTGACTACTACACAGCAGTGATCAATCTAATGAATGCTGGWCGAAACTGTGATAAATTGCACCATTCAAGAGAAGTCCCTCTCATGCCATTAGATGCTGCCTTTTCCAGGCAGTGCTTTGGAATTTGGTGGAGACTGCTAGGCTCTCTACCACCRTCAKTGTCATATTTGACTGGYCTAAGTGAATACARACCAACTAGTGAAAATCTGGTAAGTGCTGTYGTCCAGGTATTGTCTGAGCAGTACATAGAAAACCTGGAAAAAAWTKTATTTTGGTTTCCAGGCCTGGAAATTAATTGCATTTTGTAGAAGGTCATTGAAAATGTGACGTGTGATTATAATCCATACTACAACAGTATAACATTCATTGTCCGAATGAATTTAAATTCATAGTCAGTATTAAAAGTGTAATGAAATAGCTAATGGCAATCAATGGTGGTTTTGGTTATTACCTATAATAATAATAATAATTTTATTTTTATATAGCGCTTATACAAATCTGCTCTAAGCGCTTTCAATACAAACAAGTACAATGACAGAGTCATGGTAGACTGCGAGCTTAAGATGGCGCCTCATGGCTGCCGCTCTTAGTCTGTCCCAAGACATCAAACTTAAAAATTACAACAATAAAAATTAAAATATAAATAACACTACAAAAAATACATACAAGGAATAAAGAAGCATGCATGATGGCCGGTGGCTCAGATGAGCTCATTCGCCCTTTGACAGGTCTTGTTTTTAGTCCTGCTGGGTGTACATGCCACCCTCCTCACCAGTTAGACTGGTGGGGGAGCCGGTTTAGACGCCGACGACCCGTCCATGAGGCAGGTTGTACTGGGTTACAATGTTACCAGTAGCAGACTCATCGTCTGACCTGACTTTAATTTGTAAAACTATTCTTCAGTTTAACTTTGGTGTTAAAATTATTTTTTATTTTGTTGTGTAAATAGGAAGATGAAATGCCTGTAATGCTCTCAAACCTCCACTGGATGGCAAAACTTTCTTCCAAACTAGATGATGACTATATTAAGTCTCTAAAGGTATGTTCCTGGGTTGTTTAGATTATATGAAATAAATTGTCTTTTAAAGTTTATAATTCAAACATTGTTTATTTCAGGAATGGATGGTTGTTCAGGGCTTATCAGAAGATGAATCTCAATCCACAATTGAGAAAATGACYAAGGATTTCTCAAGCTTACAGTCCAGTGTCGTCATTGCTAAGACTTACCTTGAAGAGGTATGTATCAAATACGACTGATGGCTTGACAATCTTGCCTCCTTCTACTTTGKTCTTTGTTCTTTGCTGGGTCTTGTTCTTGGTTTGTTCTTGTTCTTGCCTTGATTTTTTTTTGTTCTTGATTTGTTCTTGTTAGTAGGTTCTTGTTTTTAGCTTGCTATTGTTTATGGCTTGTTTTTGACTTGGCTTCTACTAGTTCTTGTTCTTTCGTTGCTATTGCTCTTTTCCTATTATTAATTGCAATCGTACTTGTCTTTTCCTTAATTGCAGTTCTTCTTCTTCCTCTTCATTTTCTTCTTGTACTCATGAAGTATCAAAATATATGTTTATTTGTAAAAAATAACTGCTACAGGTTTTCTACTAAATGCCTTGTCTTCCCCCCACCTTCCTTGTATCATAGTCATCACTATCTCATTGTTTGTTTTGTTGACATGTTTCCTACAAGATCATGTTCATAAATATATAATTTTCTAGATTTCCAAGCTGCATACCATTACAGAAGATTTAACCAATGTCGCTCAACTGCCTTGCATCCTTTGCGTAATTCTACTTGATGCAATTATTGCAAAGACTCACATAGCTTTGAGTAAGCTGTTTGGCAACACAGATGAGGATCCAGACCTTACATACATCATGCAAATTGCCAAAGACCTTGTCCCAAAGATTGTCAATTTGATTCCTTTTTACCAGAAGTTTTCAAGGTTTGTTCGATTTCATGRGTTCATTTATTAAATTGCTATTCTTAAAATTGCAGTTCAGGCGGGAATAGCCTTGAATTCATGTGTAAATTGATTGTTTATCTATCGTTTTCTATCTTACTAATGAGGCTATTCCCATCTTAGGAATTATAGTAAATTATGATTTATATAACAGTACTTGTAATCAGATGTAAATAAATTAATTTGCAATGTCCATTCATTTCTTTTTTTCCTATCCCTTTCTTCCTTTTTTCTCAGTTCCATCATCTTCTTTCCTACCCTCTTTACTTCCTTAATTCCTCCTCAAAATTTTATCCTCTCAATATATACTGTATTACTGAAAAACCTTTTCTTTTAGATTTTATTTGTTGTCCATCATATGCGAGGACCAGAGAAGGGACAGGACACTGCCTGACGACAGCAAAAAGCTGTTTGTTCAAGATGCTCTCAATGCGTACATAAATGTTGTACAGATCGGATGCATGAGACTTCCCAAACAGACTTCTCTGTCAGTGGCTGTTCTTTCGGGTAAATCCTAACTTTACTGTATAGTATCATATTAGGTAATTTCTAGGTGATTTTTGCTCTTCTCAAAAGGATTTCAAATCAGTAAAACTTTTTAAAAGTATTCTAACTTATTGATGTATATTCTAGCACATTCCACACTTAAACAACAACAATAAATAAAAATAGTTGGATGAATTTACTATTTGATTTGATTTTAGCTTTGCTCGAATTGCATTTGTCCACATTATAACACTGTGGCAAACTTTTAAAACATTTTTGTTGTGTTACAACTCTAACCTTTTATGTAATATATAAATTAAATATGAGCGGGAGACCTATATTTTGCAAAAAAACTTCAGGATAAAATATCATTTTTAGGAGAAAATTAACATGCAAATCAGGATAAATCTCTTGCTTATATAAAGATTCGGTAACGGCAATGATTTTCCATTGTGTTTACCTAATAAATTATTAATGAATTTGATAATTTACATTTCAGGTTTACCGTCTCCTATACAAACTGGTGTTGAAAACTGGAACACTGGATTCTTAAACCAGAATCCAATCACTTTTCCAGTAAGAGATGAAGGAACTGCTGGTAACGTTGCGACATTCATTGGTTCTCTTGTTGAATCTCACTTGTCATCCATGGTGTCCAGTACTCCRTATGACAAGGGTCCTGGWTTGAAACACACATTGCAGTCACTTGTTCAACTTGCTGCTGATTTGATCATGTAAGTGTATGGACACTTTGCCAGCACCGCTTACATTAAAAGCTTCATTTGGTGGACAAAAGAAAAGATTTTTTCCCTCTTGGGAACTAGAATCCATGGTTTTGTCCTCTAGTTGGAGCTGCATTCCCATGAACTCCAAGGGTTGTATATTTAATGGTGGAAGCTAGTGGTAAACTAGTGTGAGCTAAGTCAGTGTTTCTAAAGAAACAGTTGAATGTGTAAAAAGATAAATTTTAACACCTTAAAAAATAGATAAAACAACATGCTGATGTTTTGGATGTTAATCCTTCTAATTAATTAATTAAGTAATTCATTAATTTTTAATTAATGTAGGATTAACGAACGGAATGGTTTTTATGGGTCATGATACTGTACCACACTAGGTACACTAGATCACACTAGGTAGACTATCACACTAGCTACACTATGATACTGTACCGCACTAGGTACACTATTACATTAGGTACACTATGATACTGTACTGCACTAGGTACACTATCACACTAGGTAGACTATGATACTGTACTGCACTAGGCACACTATCACACTAGGTACACTATGATACTGTACTGCACTAGGTACACTATCACACTAGGTAGACTATGATACTGTACCACACTAGGTTCACTATCACACTAGGTAGACTATGATACTGTACCGCACTAGGTACACTATCACCCTAGGTAGACTATGATATTGTACCACACCAGGTACACTTCTATCACACTAGGTACACTATCCGGGATAAAATTTATCTTTTTTACACAACTTTATATTATTTAATGATAATTGAGTAGTGATAGAATTACTGTAACAAAGTGCAACAAGGCTCATTAGTCTATAAGCTACAGTCAGTTATTTTGTTACTGCAGGCCTAACTATTTTAATCCTCTAATAAGCATTTTTTCATTGACTATTTCTGGTTATTTTCTCAGGTGGTGTCCAAAAGAGGAAGGCTCCATTCATAGTTTACATGCCAAGGAACTGACAAGTACATTTTCACCAATACTAGTAGATGCAACCACTGAATACCTCCATGATTCAGCCACTAGTGTACTGGACAGAGTGGTTGGACCTGTTGATAGTGAAGCATATTCCAGGAATATCCATCTTTATGTGCTGATTAACTGCCAGAAACTCTTGACAGAGCAGACACTGATTGACAAAGAAAGGTAAGCTGAGTTACGAGGTCAAGTGGCTCTAATGCAAGTAATATTCACAGAATAAGTTTCAGTTGACTGACTTATTGATTGTCACTCATCTGATATCCCTGAATTAACATTTTCTAAAGTAATAATATAACACTTAATTCCTTTAATTTGTCATTAATGCATTGATAGATTTGTTTGCTGATTGATTGGAATGGGTGATTGATTGATGCAAGGTCGTATTTTATTGGTCAGCAGATGATTGATTGATTGTTTGCTTGATTGATTGAATGATTCACTAATTGATTGATTGATTGATTGACTGATTAATTAACTGATTGATACATTAAGCATTGATTGGTTAACAAAATGATACCTTGATTGCTTGATTGATTGAGTGATTCACTGATTGATTGATTGATTGATAATTAACTGATTGATACATTAAGCATTAATTGGTTAACTTTCAGTTCATTCATTGGTGAGGAGGTGTTATTGGACTGCTTAAAGTACATTGAGTCCTTATTGGAGAGACCATCTGGGCGTAGTCTGTTAGAACAGTTCTACACTAACGGCAAAGACCTTGTAGACATCATCTTATTATCAGCACATAGTACTGCCTCTTTGCCATACGTCAACAGAACTCTAAAAATGGCAGTTAGAATTCTTCAGCTTGGTTAGTATTCATAATTTTCATGACTTTTCCTTAAAGTTTATGACTTGCAGTGTACTGAATATTTAATATGTTTTCCTTAAAGTTTATGACTTGCAGTGTACTGAATATTTAATATGCATTTTGTTTTTGGTCGACTTAAGTTTTGAACGTGTTACGATATTAAGAGTGTGTCAGTAGGAGGACATACAACTCAAAACAGTGCCCAACTTTTAATTTTACCACTCTTGTGTGAATTATTATTTGTTGATTGGATGATAAGTGTGGGTAGTTAAAAGATGTTCTTACTGTGCTGAAACCATCTTATCTTGTCTTGAACACACATAAAAATATAATTTCTGTAAATTTTTAAATTCAGTGTGTTGTAAAGAGAATTGAAGGGGCGGATGCTAAAANTTGCTTGCTTGCTTGCTTGCTTGCTTGCTTGCTTGCTTGCTTGCTTGCTTGCTTGCTTGCTTGCTTGCTTGCTTGCTTGCTTGCTTGCTTTCTTGCTTGCTTGCTTGCTTGCTTGCTTGCTTGCTTGCTTGCTTGCTTGCTTGCTTGCTTGCTTGCTTGCTTGCTTGCTTGCTTGCTTGCTTGCTTGCTTGCTTGGATTAGCAACAGATTGCAATTGTAAATTGCTTGACTGATTCAAGCATTGATTGACAGATTTATTGCTTGCTTGCTTGCTTGCTTGCTTGCTTGCTCGATTGATTGATTGATTGATGCACAAGGATGTTTTGATTGGTCAACAGATTGGCTGGCTGAATGAAAAATTGATTGGTTAACAGAATGATAGCTTGATTGATTGAGTGATTCACTGATTGATTGATGATTAATTGATTGATACATTAAGCATTGATTGGTTAACTTTCAGTTCATTCATTGGTGAGGAGGTGTTATTGGACTGCTTAAAGTACATTGAGTCCTTACTGGAGAGACCATCTGGGCGTAGTCTGTTAGAACAGTTCTACACAAACGGAAAAGACCTTGTAGACATCATCTTATTATCAGCACATAGTACTGCCTCTTTGCCATATGTAAACAGAACTCTAAAAATGGCAGTTAGAATTCTTCAGCTTGGTTAGTATGTAGAATTTTCATTACTTTTCCTTAAAAGTTAATGAGAGTGCACTTAATAGTTAACATGCGTTTAAGTGTTTTGGTTGCCTTAAGTTTTGAACATGTTATGATATCAAGGGTGTAAGTAAGAGGACATACAACTCAAAACAGTGCTCAATTGTTAATTTTACCACTCTTGTGTGAATTCTTATATGTTGCTTGAATGATTAGCATGGGTAATTGAAAGACGTTCATACTGTGCTGATATCATCATGTTTTGCACATAAAGTACATGCTAACGAAAGAAATTTTTTTTTTCTGCAAATTTTTTATTTTTTTTGTAAAAAAAATTGTACACATTTTGATTGTATTTTAACTTAATTGTGTGCACTTTGCAGTGCAATTAAGGATGTGCATCTCACAGCTGTTCTCATTTGTTAAATTTGCAGCTGAAAAACATCCAGTAGACTCAACCATCAAATCACTTGCAAGATGTCTGTCATTTCTGGATACAAGTGATCCACAGCAGTTACAAGACTGGCTGACAAGAATTGTCATTGGAATAGAAGAAGACCGTGAAAACACTGGAAAGATGGCTGACAACAGGCTGCTCCTACAAGCACTAGCATCTCATCTTGTGAGGGAAGCTTAGTAAGTCTTCAAAACGTCATGTGACTAATGATGTACATGTTGTAGTTCAGGTTCAATATAAAATATAAACTGATTTGTACTGGATTGAGTTATATTGGACTGGCCCAAAATAAACTGAACCAGTTCAGAAGAAATTGAACTGGTTCAAAATCATATTGAACCTGAACTACAACATACATATTAATGAATGTTTATAAGGTTTGCACTTTATTGTTTTTATGAATAATTGTTGAAAA